TTTTTTTTTTTTTTTAAATCAAGATGCATAATTTTTGAGATTTTTTATTTTAATAAAAAATAAAAAACTATAATTTTCATTATATATTTACCTATGTTGTCCCTGAAGATCATAGATGTAAATATAATGACTTCCACATTTGAATAATTAGAAAATCGAATTTGCTCAAATTGATTTGCCATGGAAGACCAAAGTGCTATGTTCAAATGGTTTTTCCTTCAATAAAATTAAAACAATATCAAATAACTATCTATAATTAATTGATCAAATATTATACTTTATTAATTAAAGAAAAATGAAATTCAAATAAATTTCATGCAATTCTTTAAATATGAATTAACTTTGATCTTCAATATGTAATTCTATGCAAATAACATTACTACCATTTACTTCCTTTCTTGTGGAGTTCTAACACCGACCAAAACTCCAATAACATCTAAATTTTGAATAAATGTATTTTAAATAAAATTAAATCGCATATTCATTTAATAAAACTATATTAAAATAAAAAACATACCACGAAGGCATTTCTTCTTTTTCTTGAGAAGGTTCTCATAATCAATGAGTTTAAACACAAATCTCGAAATCTCTATGACTTCTTCAATCAATTATTTAACAATAGTATCAAGGTGAAATTGAATCATGTAGTTGTTATAAGAGACAATATGATAGGTGTTTTTATTCTTTTACATGGAAAATTTTTTCATGTAATAAACATTCCCTTCAACCAATTGATTCTTAAATCGCAGAGTATTGGAACTCCAAATTATAGCATGAATAATATTTTTCTACAAATAAATAATTATTATTAATAGAAATCGTTAAATACATAAAAAAACCAAATTTAATAACTTATAAAATTACCTTCTCATTGGCCACAACCATTTCGGAAGTGAGATGGTCCTTGTCACATTTTAAACTAAAAACATCCCACAATCTACATATTCACAATTTAATCTTCCAATCTTCTTTATCGAGTGAAAGTTGATCAAGAAATACATATTCCATATCTTTTACAATTGATTTACCTCTATATAAACAAAATATTAAAAAACTAGAGTAAAAATGTAACATAATTAAAGAAAAAAGAAATTGATGGTGAAAATCAAATACCTATTCATATTAAGAAAATGCAATCCAAGCAACCATACCTTGTAATCAAAATTTGGATTTAGAAATATCTCTAAAACAAAACAATAATGAAAAAACTTTCTCATAAACATAGGAACTTTAAATAGTAGACACTTAATCCTTCAAGTTCTAATTCCCATTAGTTTTTTCCTTCTTCATCCACCAAAAGATGAATGCTCAAAAATATTACTAATTAATATGTTAGAAAAAAATAAATGGTCTTGCCTCTTCATCTACCTAAGAATGAACCAATCCTTTCAATATTAATATTAATAATTAACAATTGATATACCATTCATTGAAATTATTTTCAATTACCAAGGCAAATACTTGTTAGTGGTTCTTCATTTCATGGTTATTTTCATTTCATTTCATTAGTAGTTACTATTTATTAATTTTTTATCAATAAATTTATTGCTTTCTTTACATTAAATTATTATAACAATCATAATTTGGTTGAGAACCGCATAACTTTTAAGAGAAGAAAATGAAGAGTCTATTCATGAATAAAATATATATAATAATTATATAATTATGTAATAAATAATAAATAAATTTATATTATTGTATTATATTATATTATTATAAACTAGTTTTTGTTTTGCCCATG